TCGATGGCGAGTGTCTGGTGGTTGAGCTTTGGCTCCTGGGGCTCAGCCAAGGCAAGCCTGAAGAAAGGAAAGGAAGCCACCATCATGTGGGCCCACCACCTGTGGGGAGGTCTGTCAAGGTCGGGTGTGATGGATGCCGGGCAGCAGGCAAGGGAAGGTCCCTGGCCACACTGACTCTTGGGGACATAGATTGGCTCTACAGATGTGGAACATTTTATTGAAACTTGCAGAAAGTAATTATTTTCTGTACACCTACAATTTTAGGAATCAACCCAATTCAAGATGGCCACCACAGCTAATTCAAGTGACCAAATATAATAGCTAAAACCCAGTCACTTTAACAGCTACTGAAATTTGAAGTGGTAGTAGCTGGGAGTCATCTTCATACTTTACTCTAAACTACTATAACAGATCTTGTGAAACATGCAACATGGTGTGTAACTTTTAGTTTAAAGTTTGGTCAAATTAGCTACAAGTCCATTTATTCTACTTGAATTTTTTTTAGTTTAAAACCCTGGCATGAAAGGTGATGTCCCTTCATGGACTGTTAGGCCTTTAATTCCATTAAAATAAATCCAAAGATTACATTCCTGCATGGAAACATGGTGTGGTGTTGCAGCTCATAAAGATTCATTGTTGATGTTTCCTTTTAAATAAACTCAGTGTTAATACCATTTATTATTCCTGAGCTCCTCTCTGCTGTGACTCCGGTCCAATGGATCTGTCAGATGTTTCCTCGGTCTGAGCCTGAGCCTCGTGCATTTGCCTAGGGTAACACATCAGTAGTCTTCCTGACTCAGATTATCTTTGTTTTTCAGCTCCTGTCTTAGATGAACCTTTTTACCTTTACAGTACTTTCTACACATATAAACAAAATTGGTGTAATATTTTAGAGCGAGGGCAGCATGGTGGCACAACTGGCATAGCTGTTGCCTCTCAGTGAGCAGGTTACCCTGGTTCAAATCCCGGTCCAGGGACCTTTCTGGGTGGAATTTTCATGTTCTCTCCGTGCTTGCATAGGTTTTCTCCGGGTACTCCGGTTTCCTCCCACAGACCAAAAACATGCATGTTAGGCTGATTGGTAACTCTAAATTGTCCTTAGATATGAGTGAGTGAGTGAATGGTTGTTTGTCTCATTTGTCTCCATGTGTCCCTGTGATGGACTGGAGACCTGTCCAGGGTGTCCCCTGCCTCTCGCACTGTGATGGCTGGACATGGGCAACAGCAACCCCTGCGACTCGAAAAGGAAGAAGCAGGTGAAGATAATGGATGGATGGATGGGATTTTAGAACAAGCACATTATGTGAGACCTCTCTGCAAATGCAGGAGGTCTCTTTCTCTTAATGAGCTGGTAAGAAGTAGTTGAGTAGTATGACCTGACTGAACATTGTTGGATTGTTTACCTGGATTATTGAGCATGAACCTTGAAATCTTGAACCACTTTGGCTGGGGCTGCCTGGGAGGAGTTGACAGGGGAGTGGACATCCCACAGAAATCATCTTATCACCAGCAAACTGGTTGGTCCACTATAGGAGTATACTGCTAATTGAGGAAACCGTTTGTTTGCAGCTCCTCAGATTGATGAAGCCCTTTGGTAAATAAATTAGTAAAGTAAAGTAAAAGTTAAAGGCAAGCTGATTTATCCACAGCAGATGATTTGTGCACATGTATTGAACAATTTGTTTGCACAGAATATTCCTACTTGTGCAGTTTGAAATGTGTACCTTATATTTGAAAAAAACTGTTATTCATTTGTGAATCTTGTACGCTTGTGCAACTACTTTTGAGACTAATTTATCTTCACATAATTCACGTAATTTGCAGATTACAGGGATAAATTTTCCACTTTAATCATAATCACATAACAAGGTTGCCGTTCAACATGAGGAATAAATAGAGCTCAATAATTCTTCATCCAAATTATTTTAGTCTAAATTTAATCCCCTTGTGTAAAATGCTTTGTGACATTAACAAAGTCCATGCTCAATAATCCAGGTATACAATCCAACATTTTTCAGTCAGGTCTTCTGGACAGATGACCTGACTGAAAAATGTTGGCTTTGTGAAATTGTACATTTATAGTAACAGAAATATTGTTACCCACAGTTTAGGTCCAAACTGAAATCTATGTCTTTGTAGGTATTCTCATAAGAGGGGGATAACTACTACACATAAAAACAAAATTAGTGTAATATTTAGAATGAGCACATTATTTTCTTAATCTGTGAAACCTCCCTGCTCTGCAGATCAGGAGGTCTCTTTCTCTTAATGAGCTGGTAAGAAGTAGTTGAGTACAGAAAATCCCGTTTCAGCTGAATTCAGACAGATAAGTGAAGACATCGCAGGATCATTTCCTTTGCCTTAGAGCAGCTTAGCGATAACGGAAATTTAATTATGTCTGACATCTTATCAATGATCTGTGATGAAATGTCTGAGTAATTTGATATCAGACGTGGTTAATGTTAACATTCTTGATCTTTCTATTAAACAATGTTTTTTTTTTTCTCTGCTTTTAGTTTAAAAAATGGATCTCACTTTCTGGATCATTATTATTTTGTTTGTTTGTTTGTTTTACTTCCATACAGTTGTGACATAACCATAAAGTCTGAATGTGGTCAGTTTATTTTTCCCATTGCAGTCCAGACAGAGGATGTGAGTTAACCCTTCTGCTGTCCTTTGGTTAAATGATGCCCCAGGTCTCAATTTAAATACTGGAACTTCACGGGTCATTTTGACCCAAGGACTGCAGGAGGGTTGACAGTTTCTTGCTGGGCTCTGACTCTTGGCAACTACTGTAGCTGGAGAGACACTTTCATAAAACATTTAAACCTGGTGTAACAGGCCAAATTAACCCATGCACAGCTAAAACCTGAGCATAGTTTGATTTAGGCCAGACTATACCCCTCCCGGACAGAATATATCCATCTATATACTCATAATCTGGCCTAGGCCAATATCTACCCCTCAGGCCAAATGTTTAGAGTTTTTAGATTCAAGTCAGTTGGCTTTCTCTTTTAACTTACCTGATAATGCTGACAATGCTGATAATATGCACCCCCCCCCCCCTCAATACATCATTGAAAAAATAGATAATTCTTGTGTATATGACTCAATGCTGCTGATATTATGAGGGTATAATTTGGCCTGAGAGGTTAATACCCCTGGCCAATTTATACCATAGTATACCCGGGGTTTAGTCTAGCCTAGGTCCATTTAACCCCAGGTATAGTCTGGAGTGGGGGTATACAATAGCCTGTTACACCAGGGCAAGATGCCCTCTGGCTGCTTTGATGCGATTTCTAAATGAACTGAGGTGACAAGGTGGGGTTGAAGCCACCAACCTTAGATGCACCTTTGTAGTGTGAAGCAAGGTAGTAATCGAGCTGAAACAGTCAACATGTAAAGAAGTAAGCCATGGCTCATTAATGTGATGAAGGGATGACATCTAGTATGGATTAAACAGGATTAAACAAGAACAAACAGATTCATTATTTTTTATGATGATAAACAATAACTCTAAATTTAGTTAAAAAAAGATATATATATATTAGGAATGATTACTGTATGCACGTATAGATCACAGTATACCTATGCTCATCTCTGAATGTGACTGAGTCTGAGTGTTTCATGTGACTGAAATATCTTCTAGAATTTGAGGATTTTCTAAGGGAAAACTCAGGGAATTTTTGTTTTCCGGACATGCTGGTAACCCTAAACTGTCAGAAAACAGTGTTTTTTAGAGTTGAACCCAGTGGTGCAGTCGTGGGTTCCACTCCAAAACCACCACTTCTGACATAAACATCCATCCATCCATTATCTTTACCCGTTTATTCCATTTTGGGTCACGGGGGTCGCTGGTGCCCATATCCAGCAATCACTGTGCGAGGGGCGGGGTACACCCTGGACGGATCGCAAGTCCATCACAGGGCCACATAGAGACAAACGAGACAAACAACCATTCACTCTCTCACTCACACCTAGGGACAATTTAGAGTTACCAATCAGCCTAACATGCATGTTTTTGGACTGTGGGAGGAAACCGGAGTACCCGGAGAAAACCCACGCATGCACAGAGAGAACATGCAAACTCCACCCAGAAGGCCCCTGGACCGGGGTTTGAACCAGGGACCTGTTCGCTGAGAGGCAGCAGCTCTACCAGTTCCGCCACCATGCTGCCCCTGACATAAACAAATTATGGTAATCCATTCAGGGCTGCAAAACTTTTTCTTCACCAAGTAAACTCATAGTAGTTCATTTTAGATAATGCAATTTTTATCCAATTTATGATAGTTCATTTAAGCCAGTGCAGCTTTTTAACAAATGACAGTGCTTCATTTTAGATGACAGAGCTTTTCCCACTTTTACAGTAATTAAAGTCACAATGATTCATTTTGTATATAAAATAAAATATGTAAAGGATATATATGTGTAGAGGCAGGGCAGCCGGCTTGGGACCCAAAAGTTCCAGGTTCGATCTCCAGTCACTGCACATCACGTGGTGTCTTTGGGCAGCACACCTCATCCCCAAAAGCCTCCCGGCGCTTTCAATAGCTGCCCACTGCACCGCCTGGTGGTGGATGGGTTAAATGCAGAGACTAATTTCGCCATTGTATGGAAACATACAGTGCTGACATTGTGATGACATTATTATTATTATTATTATCCTTTACCTTTGCTGGAAAATATTTCTGTAGGCTGGCCTTGTTAAATTTTAATTCAAAACTACTGCTCACATGAAATTGTGTTAAAATAATTTGCTGTTGCATTATGACTTAAGCGTAGTAATCTTCAAGCTATATGAATATTTTTTAAACACTGTGTTTTTTCAACCTTTATTTAGACAGGTAAAACCCATTGAGCCTCGAGGACTCATTTACAAGAGCGACCTGATTTCAACAAAGAATGATGACAACAATGGACAACAGCGACATGCAAAACTCCAAGGTTTACTTTGTAAATGATCACGTATGTGTTTATCAATGTTTGATCTGTTTCTACAGGGAAGGACGAACTGGAAATATCTCCATATGACGACTCGTTGACAGACACCCGGATGGCCTCCTTGGTGTCAGGTAAGCCCCTTAGTTTGTCTCTGCATCACCAGAGAGGAGATAAGTTTTAATTTGAATTTTTACTCATTCATTTTAAAAGCAAGAACATTTGAAGCCAATTTTTAAGATATCATTAAAAGAAATTTAGGATTTTTTTTCTCCCGCGTATCAAGCCCTTACTAATGACATAAAGATAAAATGTTCTTGCTCAACATTGAACAAGATTTACAGGTACTGGTTGAGTTTGCACTAATGTTTGGGATCAACTTGCGCCATCCCAACTTCCTGAAAAGACTTTTGTGTTGAGATAGAAACTCAATATGTAGCCTCTTAAAGCAATGTTTCGGACATTTTGAAGTTAAAAAAAAAGTTGTACAACATTAATGGCATACCTGTTGTTGAAAGCTGTTTGAACAACTGAAGGTATGCACTAGTGGGAACCAAAAGGTATGCAGTAGGTGAGGGGACCAGGAGCTCTGCAGCAGGTGAGGGGACCAGGAGCTCTGCAGCAGTGGGGATCAGAAGCTCTTCAGGAGCGGGGATCAGAAGCTCTTCAGCAATGGGGATCAGAAACTCTGCAGATGTGAGGACCAGGAGGTCTATAGCTTTGGAACCCTCAGGAGGACAGGAGTGAGAGGAGTTTGCCTGGACCCCCTTGCAGGACAGGTGAGAGGAATCTGCCTGGACCCCCTTGCAGGATGGATGAGAGAGCCAGGAGTGTTTCACTGAATAGTCCCAGTAGGGCGAGGAGACCCAGGAGGGTGCAGGTGCCAAGAAGTCCCAGGAGGATGCAGCTGCCGAGACAGGAGATGGGTCTGCAGCTGGCGGTGCAGAGCCGAGGTCGTCCTTTCCACAGCATGCTGACAAGCAGAGACAGGGGTCGTCCTCCATAGAGCAAGAGCCCAATCGCCCATCTGGCAAGTGGGGATATGGGTACCTCTCCCCAGCAAAATCTCCCATTGCTCTTCCAGCGAGCAAGGGCTGGACTGCTCCTCTGGTGATCGCAGGTACCTCTCCACCAGCAAAATTTTCCACAGAACCTCTGACGAGAGAGGGGTGGACTGCCTCTCTGGCAAGCGGGGGCATGGGTACCTCTCACGCACCCAGCAACATTTTCTGCCGCTCCTCCTCAAGTGAGGGCAGGGCTGCCCCCAACCTCTCCTCTCGTTGCACCAGACCTGGAGAGGGGGTGGATGGTGAGGTGCAGCAGTGGGGCACAGCAGTGAGGGGAGGGGAGATGGATAAGCAGAGGACCCAGGTTTGATAGCCAGAAGGGTCTCGTGAATTGGAGTCTTTCCTTTCTCCTCCTCCTCCTTGACCCATCAGGCAGTCTTGTCTGCCTCTCGAGCCAGGAACTCAAACAGGACTATCATTTTCCTACTGGGTTCAGTTTAGTCTCCGGACTCTATCATGATCTGCTGTCTGGTGTGTTGAATCCACGTGCAGGAAGATGACAAGAGGCTGGAGTAAAAAGTCCAAAATATTTATTCACCAATAACAACAATTTTTCATGTACCTTTCATTTATACAGGTAGTCTCATTGAGTCACGAGAACTCATTTCAAGAGAGACCTGTTTTTGGGAGGAGATGGTGGGGGTTAAGGGCCTTGCTCAGGGGTCCAGAGTGGAGCAAATGAGGGTGGAGGCATGTGTGGGTTTTTCACTTTTTCCACCCATATTTTTGATGTTGACGGTACCGGGAGTTGAACTTGTGACTTTCTGATCACAGACCCATCTTCTCTAACCTCTGTGCCACCACTTCCCAAAACAAAATACTGATAGGGCAGCTAAACTCACAGAGACTGGAGAACTAGAATGGAAGACAGACCACGACACCATAGAAGGACAATCCAGAGACAAATCACAAGACACAAAGGAGCTGGATACATACACACACACAAACAAGGACAAATAACAGGCAACTGCGGTGAATAACATTGAACACAGGTGAAATAAGTGACGACACAAGGAGGAGCACTGAGGGATGAATGAAAACATGAGGAAACAGAGAAAAACAGGACAAAACCCAGAACCCCTATAAATATGGGTCTACCAGGTCTGTACGGCATCTTCACTCTCAATCTGATCCAGCTCACTACCACATAGTGATCAGTTTACATCTCAGCTCCTATTTTCTCCCGAGTGTCCAAAACAAATCAGAATAGGAATTAGAATGCCTTTATTGTCATTATACGCAAGTACAATGAGATTGAGCCACTCCTTTTTTCAGTGCAAAGCATGCTTAAGAAAAACACACTAAAAATATAAAAATGTAACACAATATATATATATATAAATATATATATATATATATATATATA